GCCATCAAGACACAGTCCCAAAATGGTATCAAGTACTATCAACTGTCCATACAGGTAGGTGCCCATGTGCGGCTCCCACTGATAGAAATTTTCATCCCTTTTCTCATGATAGTTCCAGGGGATCTTTACCTTCATCTTTTCTCTCCTCTCTCCCCCGTCGGATGGTCTTTCTTCCCCCTTCGGATCTCCTCTTTTTAGGGCCTTTGCCTCCCTTCCCATCATCACCACCATCTCCACCCCCACTCCCACTTGCTACCTTTATCGTGGCGACGGTGTCTACTAATTTCGAGGTGAAGATGCCTTCCAATTGCTGTGCATAACCCCGAACACGCTCATCTATTCGGTGGGCAGAGACACTTAGATAGTTGTTCCAAGTGCCTTTGAACTCATGATTGTGCTGTTCGAGTCGGGCGATAAACTTTATGCGATTTTCAGAAAAACGGGAACCCTGATCTAATCCTAATTGCCACTTTTGTATTACCGCACAAATGACGGAATGCTGCTATTTCGAGATTTCCAAAACTTCAGGGTTTCGAAATGCGCGGAATTCGCGGATTCCGGGGAGTACTGAAATTTTGGATTTCCGAAATTCGCGGATTTGGAAAATGCCGAAAGTGCAAAATTAGTTACTACAGAAAAAGAAAACGAAAGAAAAAGAATTCACAAAACTTTAATCCGTTAATTACTAATTAGTTGTTAATCTTGATTAGGGTTGGTTTAGCGAATGCCAATCGCGGATTAGCGCTAATTTGTGATTAGCGCATATCCGGGGTTAGTGCTAATTAGCGCTAATCATGGTGACAACTTTATTAGAACTTTTTTTATTTTTTGCAGAAATTTGACGAATCCCTACTTAATCGATCAATCAATCAATCAAGTTGGTTTCTTGATTGGGCAGATCCTCTTTCGAGAGGTCTGCTCTGATACCAAACTGTCGCATACCAAGATGGTACAGACCAGGACCAAGAACCGACGTCTCACAGATAGAGCACGATAGCACAGCGGAAGACTGGAATACCAATGATCAGACCCAATCAATGTCGAAATGCAGACTGGACAGACATCTGTTATGTACCCGATTGAACTTCCATCCACAACGAATTCACACGTTCCCATACACGCATGCAGCTACAGAGTAGACTCGGAGGAGGCAAATCCACACAAAACCGGAGAGAGGATATGCACAGCGGAAGCTCAAAATACACAGAGAATTGAAAAACGAATTTCAATTCTGTAATCCCCCGTCCTCCTCCAATCAATCCGAAGTACTTGTCCAAGAATCACAACCGTGTTTACAACAACCCCGAACAACCAAAAAAACAGTGTTCAACGAAGTCTACAGGAGTCTTCTTCTTCCTCCTCGCCACCTCATACCCCTGGCTATGGCTTCCGTAGCAGCAGTGACCCCACAGCTGTCACAACGTGCCAATCTGAACCAGCAACGCCTATGATAGCAGCGCCAGCTCAGCGCCTGCACAGAAGTGCAGTGCTGGAAGTCCTGATGAAGAAGGAGACAACCAGCCCAGCACTTCGAAGAAGAGAAAAACGAAGTTCCTCATGAGGAACAGCAGATATTGCTGCCAAGTGGAGAAAGGCAGCGCCCAAACCCAACAACACAGTCCTGTGGAAGCTCTCGTGCAGAGCTGCAGAATAGCAGCAGTGCTATCTCGAACTTCATGTTGCAGCCCCAGCTATGGCTGGGCTTCGAGGAAGAAGACGCCCTAGCCCAAGATAACGCAGCAACCCTTCGTCAACGACTGGGCAGAGTTTCCCCAGCTGAAAAACGAGGAAAGACCCGAACTAATTTTCCTGTCCGCTACTTCTACCCTCTGCCTAGACCTACGACGGACTCCCAAAAGCAATAACCCAAGAATCATCTGTATCTAGATGGAAACAGGGGAAAAGGGGACCTAGACCTATGACAAGGCAAAAGGAAAAGGCCGAATGGACTAGGACTACCAAACAGAGACTACTAGTGACAGACTCTGGGATCAAGTCCCGCAAGGCTCAAAACAAACAAACAGCAAACAAATAGGCAACACAGCAGACAAAGGTTGCGGGATCAAGTCCCGACAGCTACGCCAAGGACAAAATTAATATACAGCCCGTTGTAGCACTGCAATTCATTGCACATCATCATCATCACACGGTGTGAATGGCCTGGCGCCACACACAAGGACGAAGGTGCCAGGCCTAGCTCATACACGTGAGGAGGAGGGGGAAGAGACGGAGAAGAGGGGGGAGGGGATGAGAATGCCATCAACCCAAATGTCGGTGATATCAATCCCAAATAGTCCCCCCAACGTCTCTGTCCAATGTCGAGTCTGAATCCCAAATGTCGTCTCTCTCTCTCTCTCTCTCTCTCTCTCTCTCTCTCTCTCTCTCTCTCTCTCTCTCTCTCTCTCT